CCCCAAAACCCCAAAACCCCAAAACCCCAAAACCCCAATAAATCATAAATATTTGAATAGAAATTAAAAATGCAGCCTTGGACTCACGAGAGCCTGTTACAAAATATGCAAAATACTAATTATTCCTCCTCAACCGATCCCCAGATTGGAGCCTCAACCCAGGATCACGACATTGGGCCCAAATATGGCAGCTTTCAGCATAATGACAGTGACGAAGATAATGAGGTTAACTTCATGGACAATGATGATGAGGGGTTATATAGCCATGAAGATGATGACTTTGACAACTCCTTTGATGACTCAGACCTCCAGAATAAAGACCCAGGTAAGATAACAACCTTATTTGTAGAGGACATCCAAAACCAGCTCAAAGAGCTGAATGACTCTGCTGTCGTCTCCCTCAAAGATGAAGAAACAGAATCAGCAAACGATAAACTCAAACGGTGTGAACAAATCCTTGAGAATCTTATCAGTGAGGGAAGGGATGTAGACAGGAACCAGATTATAGTGGTACTTCACAACCTTGCTTGCTGCCACCAAAGGTAACACTTTGCTCTAACACTCTAGGTCTTCGATGCTAGATGACTGAGTCAGTTACCTTGATGGCACCATATTCAATATCAATATTTCTCTGAAATCCCAAATCTTGAACCAACTCTCCGAAGATTATGGACCAGTCATAGTCAAGGATGAACTCAACGAGATTATGGATGATGCAAGTCAAGACATGATCCTCAACGAAGAAGTCTCCAGAAAGTTAACAATGTCTTACAAATTCCAGAAATTGAGATATTTATCAAGACTCCACCTCCAGCTTGGAGCAGTGCTTTCTCAGATAAATAAACATGAAGAAGCTCTCTATCATGGAAAGATAGCTGCCCTTTATTGCCAAGACTTGATAAAGAACACAAAATTGCTCTGTGAGGACTACCTCGCCCAAATTAGCCAGACAGCTAGTCGAAACAAACTGGGAGCTGGCAACTCACGGAGAAGCAATGTTCTACCTAATAAAGATAAACTCAAGAATAAAATAGACAAGCTTCATAAATTTGAATCAAAAGAAAAGTCTCAAAAGAGCCCCAAGAAACCCCTCCTCAAATCCAAGGAAGAGGGTCAAGTCCTTGGCCTGCCTCCTGAGGAAGAGAAGAAGTCTGAAAAAGAAGACCTGGAAGATGAGCCTTCAATCTTCTTCTTTGAAGATGATGAGAATGAGCTTGAAAACCTTGCAAAGAAGTGCCTACCAATCCTAACCGAAATGATGAATCAAATAACGAATTTTGAGCAATACAATAATAACAAAGATTTCGAAAAGGAGCACCAATACGAGCACACTCTCATAGTTGATGAGGAACAACCCAAGAGGTCAGGAATTGGCCTCCACAAGTCTATTAAAGGAAGCAAGATGAAACTTTCTTATGATAAACCCAAATCTGCAAAAATTTCCAAGGATTACCAACTAAAGTCAGATCTTTGCAGTCTAAAAGATACCGTAACAGGATTACTAGGGGTAAAAAGGTTTGAGGACTGGATACTCAACCTCAATATTGGAAATGTAATGCATCTTAGCCCTCTGACTCTCCAAGAAATGTACTTACAACTCGATAATTCGCATGAGCTCACCAGAGATGCCATCCTTGAAAAAGTAGTACTCCTCAGTATCGCTTATTTCTGAGTTGGTACAGAGTTAAGGTTCCTTTCTCAAAATCAAAAATCAGAAGGCTCCCAGAACCCAACTGAGAAATATACAAAGAAGGAAAGTGAAAAATGGCAAGCTAAAGCAGTTGAGTCTGCATGTACTTTCTTACCATCTGAGTGCCCGCTAGTTGGACATGTAATTTCGTCCTATCAAAAGCATCATTCAATTATTAGCGATCCCATCCCTGAAGATGAGGAGCTAGATGAGGACCTGGCAATTATAAGACCTTTGAATGAAGTTAAAGAGGACTCCATCAACTATCACCAAATAATCAAGAACCACATCAAGAAGGTAAGTTCCTCTCAGCTAATTCTCAGCCTAAAAAGCCAGCTTATAACTGGAGACAAGAGATTAACAAGCTTCCAAGGGAGATTCCCAAAGAAAACAAGCCTTCAGCACCAGAACATCCTCCAAAGAAGCATAAGGTCAGGGAGACCATCCCTCATAAGCATATGGACAATGAAAAGAGGTAAGAAACTCACTCAATCTGTAGAGTTAAGAAAAAGAAGACTCCCATCACAGGTCCAAATAAGCCTACTATCAGAACTCAGGAACTTGGGAGAACCGATTTGAAGAAATTTCTGAAAAGAATCTCAACTCCTTCAGGGACAAAAACCAAAGCTGCAGTTGTGATGTCCTCCCATGATTTTAATAAAATTATCACTAAACCACATGTTTCTTCTAAGACAAAAATGAAATCTAAAAAGTCCCCGATAACTATCAAGAGCAAGAGGCCAGCGACTCAGGGATCAAGTGCAGGTGTATTGCCACGAAGCAGCAAGGGCTCAATGCCAAAATACTCAAAATGAGTAATTTCTCCATCCACAAAGTACAAGCCTATGCCTCCTAGGCCGTTATCGAAGGGTACGAAGGCCAAAAAAGAGCCTAGTACAAGACCTGTGTACATAAGTAGGCCAAACAGCTCAAAGCCTTTGTCCAAAGGAAGTAGGTATTCAAGCCAGAATACTCTCTCAAGTCATACCAAATATCTCAGGTTAAGCCAGTTATCATAGTAGAGTCTAAATCAGAATATATTAATTTCAGCCTACTTACAGAGCACAGGGGTTTTGGGGTTTTGGGGTTTTGGGGTTTTGGGGTTTTGGGG